CACACATCTCCCGGAAATTCTGTACAATTTAACCAATCCGATGAAGGCTTCGAAACTCCTGAAGTGTTTCCAATTTTGTGTGCAACATGCATCAGACGTTCAGCTGTCCGTGGTCCATGGGGGTGACGTCTGAGGCTGAGACTAGGGAATAAAAGACTATACATTTCAAGGCACCTTAGATGACATTAGATCAGATTAGATAGAACTGTGTTGATCCCAGATTGATTCCACACTTATGGTGGAGAAAACAAGTCTGACGAATGCCCAATCCTGATCCCTATTAGCTACCATCCTGCAGAATTCAATTCCAGCCCTGCACCAACACACCTTTCTATAATTCTCAAGTGTTCCTGAATATCTGATTCAGATGTTTTTGATTAGGGTTGGGGTTGAACTTTACAAGAAGAGCAATCTCAAGGAACAGGTCTAAAGACTCCTGCCTTAGGTATAAAAGCCTTTTGCACCCAGGGACAATGGGCAGAGGTCAAAACAAGACTCTCAAATAAAAGTTTTGCATTGTAATGCTTTCCAGGACAGAAATACATAAAAAGCAACACTTCTGATCACAACAAAGCAGGGGTCTCCAACCCTGCTCCTGGAGAGAGCTACTGTCCTGTAGATTTCAACTCCAACCCCAATCAAACACAACTGAACCAGCTAATCGAGGTGTTTAGGGTTACGTGATAAGTACAGGGTTTTTTGGAGCAGGATTGGAACTGAATTCTACAGGACGGTAGCTCTCCAGGAGCATGGTTGGAGATCCCTGCAACAAGTTCATTCTAAACACAAAGGCTTTTCCCTAGAGCAGGGATGCCAAACTCAGCTCCTGGAGGAGCACAGTCTTGTGGAGCTTAACTTCAACCCAAATTTAACACACCTGATCCAACTAAGCAAGTCCTTTGGGATTATTTCTAAACTACACATAGGTCTACTGAAGCTGAGTTTAACACCCCTGCCCTAGAGAGAAGAGAACATCGGTGTTCTCAAAGGTGTCATAGGTAAGCAGATGAGTTGAATCAGGTCTGTTTTATTAGGAAGCGTTAGGAAGAGTTTGAAAATGTGTACTGTGGTGTGCCTCCGGGAACAGGGTTGAGAAGCACTGGACTAGAATCTCTTACCTTTGTAACAAATCCAGCAGGGTCCAATGGAGTAGCTGACCATTGAATAATGAGCTAATCTACATACTTCAATAAGACTGAAAAAGGGGTCAAACCACTTTGAATGCCAGATGGCCTGAATGTCTGTTGGAAAGGATAGCATCATTATCATCTTCATGTAAGATGAGACTCCACTAGCAGTGAAGAAAGACCAAGATATGGCCTTCTTTTGCTTTGTCTAGGACACCATATTGAGATTCCAAACAAATGTTTTGAAAGACAAAAAGAATAACATTTTTAAAAAATATGGCCATCCACAAAGTAGCTGTTTAATGTGCACAAAAATTAATTTAACATAGAAATACTTTGTATGTGCATTTGCAGGTTCAAACAGCAGCTGTTTTTGGACCACAGTGCTGTTCTCAACCCAAACACTTTGGCCCCATTTGTTTCAGTGGAGGATGCTTTGAGACATTTGTTGCCGTACCATACTGGTGCTAGAGCTCTACCCAACCAGGCTGACTTTATTTCAGGTTTGACTGCAATCATGAAGTTTGAATTTAACAATATTTTATATAAAATTGTTGTCCTGTAATAGACTCAACACTAAAATAAACATGAGAAAATATCTGTCATTCTTTGTGCAGTGGACAAGCAGTTTGAGTGCGTTTCAGTCGTTCTCTTGAAACGAATCAAAAACATGCTGAACAAGTACAGGAAACTTCTTCTGACTGAATCCCAGGTAACAAATGGCATAATTTATTTTTTAAAAACCTGCACCTCACTAATACAGAATCACTGACCAAAGTAATTGCTCTGAAACTCAAAAAATTATTTTGGTTCTCTGGAATATAAGAGGTGGCAGGTCTGAGTTGTTACTGCTTTCTT